ACCTCCAAGACAGGAGCTCCCTCCCCACCAGCTTTGCCTCTGCCATGAGGAGCACCCTCCCCTTCTAGAACCTTCTACGGAGCCCCAGGCAGGATCAGGAACACTGCAGGCGCCGCTGCCCCAACTGGTGGGATCCCTCCGTTCAGGTGAGAAACGCTTGGGAGTAAGACAGAGGTGATGGTGGCCCAACACTGTGAATGTGTGTGAGCTGCCACCGAACCGTGCACTTCAAAGGGATGAAGCTTATGTGGAGTTTAGTGCAACTCAATAAAAAGCCAGAGGGCACAAGACAGGGTGGTGGGGCTGGGCTAGGACCAGGGAATCAAAGACGGAGGCTGGTCCCTGCTCCCAGAAGCACTCAGCCCAGTGAGGACCCAGAGCCCAGCCCACCACCCAGACCCAGCGCGGCGTGTGTGCAGACGTCCACGCGCCTAGGGTGCCACGACGGCCCCCCACCCGCTCCTAAGGCTCCTGTCCCATGCCATCTGCATTCACTCCCACTGCTGCTGTCACAAAGCACCACAAACAGTGGCCCCAAGCAACACGGGTTTACTATCTTGCAGTTCTGGAAGGTGAGAAGTCTGCAATGGGTCTTAGGGACTAAAATCAAGGTGTCAGCAAGGCTGGCTCCTTCCGGAGGCTCCAGGGGAGGATCCGTTCCTCTTCCAGCTTCTGAGACGACCCGCGTTCCTTGGCTCGTGGCCACGTCACTGCAACCTCCTCTGTGTCATCACACCTCCTTCCTCTGACTCTGACCCTCCTGCCGTCCTCTTACAACTACAGGTGTAAGGACATCTATAAAAACGTAACCTGCAGAGAACCGTTTCCCTGTCACACAGGGTCCAGGAGTTAGGAGGTGGATGTATCATTTGGGGGGCCACCTGTCGGCCCACCACCCAGCCAGCAGCCCGTGGGTGTTCACAGAGTGTCAGGGGCTGCACTAAATCACGTTGCACAGTGTACGGGCTCACGGCAACCTTGTGTGGCAGGGAGAGCATTCCCAGCTTACAGAAGAAGAGACAGAGGGTCCAAGAGCTTCCCTGCCTAAGGTCACTCAACAAGCAGGTGGCTGACAGATGAGACCTCCGCCGGCGGGGGGCGCCTTGGCTTCACCTTTCAGTTTCAGCAGCAGAGAGGGTCTCACAGGCTCCTCCTTCCCAGCCATTCCCAGCCGTGATGATCCCTCAGTCTGGAGGGCCGGCTCCGGCTGCGACAAGGACCCACATCCCCACACGCTGAGCTGGGTGGCTCCCCAGGGATCACCCCAACCGCACACACACATCACTCCTGATCCCCCAGCCAGCACCAGGGTGCGGCTCTTCGATTAAGTCTCCTATTCATCAGCCTCTGAGAAGCATGATTGGGGCTTTTGTGGAAAATCAGCTCATTATGCACAGAGCAAGCGTTGTGAAAATGATCATTTTTCTAAAGGACCATGTTGGGCTCCTATCCAGCCACGAAAGAAAAGAGGAAGAGATTCTGTAGGGCTGCAGGCTTGGTCTGTGGGTTTTCAAAACAGAAAAGGGTTTGGCTAAAGGAACACCTTCTGCTAATTAACAACACTGTGAAATGCTCTTAAGGGAAGAGAGCATAGTTAGCGTTTTGTGTTAGTGCCGGTGGCTCCCAGAATGGTAAACTGCCCGCGAAAACTCAACCTGTGCGGCGCACGAGGAGAGATGATTCAAACGCGTGTCGTGCTACAGGGGCGGTCGGAGCCCGCCTCCCAGGCTCAGGGTGGGTGAGCCGTGTGAAGTGATGGAGGTCCTGTCCCCAGGGGGCTGCGGAGGGAAGGGACCCTGGGAAAGTTCTGGATTGGGGCTCAGACGAGGAGGGAGAAGAAACACAGGGTGGGGACGGGGCACAGGGGAAACCGAGCCATACAGACGAGGAGATACAGGTGAGGCGGGCAGCTCTTCCTGCAAAGGCTCTGCTCCTCCTGGGAGGCCCTGCCTCTTCCTTTTGTCTGCAAACACCTCCCCCATCCCCTTCATTTCCCCCTCCCCCCGCCCCGTGTGCACTAAAGCGTTAACTCAGCAGACCTGGGCTGCCCACACCCTGCACATCCAAGAAGGATCAGGCCCTGGCCCGGAGGCTCCCGGGCAGGAACCTCTGTGCCCTTGGGATGTCCTGCTGATAAGAGCATCTTTGTCTACCTGGGGGGCCCTGGGCCCAGCCACAGAGTCTGGGAAATGATGGGGTTTACGGGGGGCCTAGGGCCCCACCGTACCAGCTCGACCTCTGCAGGGGCTGGAGGCTAAGGTCACCCACGTGGGCAGTCAGCCATGGGCAGTCAGCCATGTCTACATGACCCACCCCAAACGAGAACCTGGGCACCAAAGCTCAGGGGGACTTCCCTGGCTGGCAACCCTCCCCCATGGCATCTCACATCGTTCTGGGAGAATGAAGCATTGTCCACGCAACTCCCCGGAGAGAGGAGGCCTCCAAGACTCGTGCATCGTCTCTCCTGGACGCCAATCTATGTGCCTCTTCCATTTGCTAATTTGCACCTGGCTCCTTTTGCTATAATAAACCAGAATCTTGAGTATAGCGGCTTTGCTGAGTTCTCTGAGTCCCAGCGAATCGTCAGACCCGAGGGTGGTCTTGGGGGCCCCCAACGCACCCTGTTATGTCACTGCAACAAACTATAGTGTGTATTGAGCCCTTCCGTGGGCCAACACTGACCTCGGGATTTACATGCCTCATCGGAATGAACCCTGATGAGCCCCCTGGGTGAATCCCCATCCACCAACTCAGAGAGGGGCTTCCCACACAAGGCACACAGCCAACAGGATGCAGGGTTTACAGCTGGGTCTCACCAACTCCGCAGCCCAGATCGCATCCCTCTCTGCTCACCATCGCCCTAGGGGCGGCCACCTTCAGGGCTGAGGTCTTCATTCCCCATCCAGGGGGCCACTGTGCCCACACACTGCCCCGGCGGCTCCCGGAATAGGGAGGGGAGAGGGCAGGTTTCCAAGCTCACCTGCCAGCCTCGGAGAGCACCACGGGAGCAGCCTCGGAGGCACCTGGGTCGTGGGGCGGGGGCCCTGGGACCATGGGGAAGGAGAGGTCAGGGGAGATGGGGGGATGGGGGCGAGAAGGCCAGGAGGGAGGGCACCTCCCCGTCCCCCAGGGGCCTCCACACTGATCAGAGGTCACACGCCCGCTCTCAGGCCCCTCACCACCTTCGAAGCCACCAGCAGACCCTATGGCTGGCTGTCAACCCTCAGGGAAACTGAGGCTCTAGGAGCACGTAAACAGGGCGGTCACAGCCTCTGTCACGGGCCTCGGGCCCGGCAGGGCACGGCGTGGGGAGCCTGGCACAGTGCTCAGGCCACCACAGGACCGAGTCCAAGCACAGCCAGCTGGCTCGTCCGCCCCAGGAGCACCGCTGGGCTCCCTGGCAGCAGGCCCCTGTTTGGGAGGGTGTTTAATGGATTGAGAGAAAAGCTCACATTCTCACGTTACGTGACAAAGCAGAGAAAATGACTAACTTCTGTGGCAGGACTTCATTCCTGCCTACGTGTACGTGTAGGCACACACACAGGTGGAGAATGTGCTGGAACGGGTAAGAGGCAGCCCAGAGCACCGCCTGTCGTCCCGGGCTAGCGGGGGAAAGAACGGACGACCGTTTCTGGGAAAAACACAAAAAAATCCACGTGCTGTCTTTGTATCCAGAAACAACTCGCTTTTCTCAATTAAACGTTTTTAACATGTCCCTATTACAGACAAAAGCTACAATGAAATCCAGCCCATGCAACTGGGGGCCTCACAGCTGAAGCTCTAGAACGTAGGCTGGGTGGTGGGTACAGGGGTTTCGTCTCAACATTATTCCTTATACCCTAAACGTGTTATAAATATTCTCGAATATGTGTTTAATAGCAGCTTAAAAACATTTTTAAACAGCCTATCCTTCAGCTGACATTAAAAAAAAATCCTCAATTCAATGAAATTTCTGAGTCCTTGGAGAACCCAACAGAGAAAGAGGTTCTGGGTGGGTTCCCTAATAATTGCGTCTGTTACGGTGACCCTCTGGACCTGGGCAAACAGCCCCACCAAGGGTCCCACTGCAGTAGGCACCCTGGTCCTGGGACCCCCAGCCCACGCATGTGCAGCTCCCCGCTCCACGACACCACCAGGGTGAAGCCCCTCCGTAGTTCCACCACCCTCACAAAGTCGCCTGCACCCAGCCAGGTGCGACCCCATCCACTCCACCCGCAGGAGGAGCTATTTCTGCCCTCCCAAGCTTCTCATCCCCACCCTGCTAGCCCACAATCCCCAGGGACATCGAGGAAGGGAGGCCCCGTGCCTGTCCTCACCGGATATGGAACCTGGTCTCCCTGACCCCAATCCATGGGTCAGAATCCACAATGACCAGTCCTCACCAGGGGCTGCCCCCCCATCCCCCTCCCCCGTGGCCGGCATGCCCCCATCCCCCCATCTCCCCTGACCCCTCCGCCCTCACAGTTCCAGGGCCCCTTGCCCCACGACGTCCACGTGTCAGGGACAAGAGATCAGACCAACGGGGGCCATGGGATTCTCTGCAATGCAAGCAGAATTAAAGCTGAGAGTGGAGAGATTCCTGCCGGGAGGCCTGCAGCCCCAAGCAGGCAGGTCCCCCGGTTTGGCCCCATCACGGCAAACAAGCACTCTGCTACTTGATGCGAGGCAAAACCCACTTCTGACGTGTGGAGAGCGCATTTAGGTAGGCAGTGATCTGTGAAAGGATTAATTTGCTGATCTTATTACCTAAATCGAGAGAGATTTTGCAGCCATCAGTAACACGCTGCAAGATTTCCCCGGTGTGAGCTGAAGCCTCTCCCCTCCTCCCCGCCCCTTCCAGCCACTGCCAACAGGCAACCCGACAACACGCTGAAAATTCATGAGAAAGACACAGGGCAGAGGGTGTCTGCTCAAAACTCCAATATCTGTGACAGGGCACGTGGGCGGCGGATGAAGATGAAAGGGCAGGCACTCAGCAGCGCGCGTTCCGCGAAGCTCACCTGATCCCTTTGGTCTGAGCCAAGTTGTGCAGGGAGAGCCTCGACACGGCCGAGATGACCTGGGGGGAGACGAAAAGATGCTTCTGTAATTTCACCAGAAAGCCTGAAGTCATCATAAAACTGCAATGAAGTGTTTTGTAGGTGTCGAGAACAGTTCACTGAGCCCGTTTCATCTTGGCAAACAATAACATAAAAAACACAGCATAAGATTTTTTAGGCGAGACACCTATTTTGTATTTGTCGTGCAAAATATGTCATTTTGGTGCACTAATATTTGCTGAGGGCCGCTGCACACCCTGCGCAGTGCCCTGGAGAGGAGCAGGGCCGGGCTCACAGCCCCTCTCTGCCGACTCCTGGGGCTCCGACATCAACCACTCCCTGAGTCTCGTTCTCCCCCAGGAGAGGGTCTGCCTCATCGGGGCCACTGAGAGTCTGCTCAGACATCATGCCTACAAAGTGCTCACCCCAGGCTCCTGTTCTGCAAGTTACCATATGATTAATAACAACTCCTGTTCCGAGTAGGTGCTGATACATTTCAGAGATGGGGAAACAGTGGCCCAGAGAGGTCAAGAGATTTCCCCAAGGTGACACAGCAGCCCGGGGCACAGCGTAGACGCAAACATCCCAGCATAATGCTCCCTTCCCTTCCAGCCCCTCCTCTCTCCAGTATGACCATTTAAACAGATGCCCGGCGCCCTGGGGGGTCGGGGTGTAGAGGGAAAACAAAGAAGCCCAGGTTCAGATTTCATGAGGGGATCCCAGCAGGCTCTCCCCAGACCGACAAGACTTGTCAAACTCAAATTCCCGAAGTGCCCGGCGAGAAGCACTTCCGTCTGCCACCCCCGCCCCAGCCCGGTCCTGCCCTGTGTCCAGTGCCCTCCAGATACACAGGACCCACCCAGCTCCCAGCCTCAGAGGCCTCAACGCGGCCATTCCACAGATCTCCAAAATGACCAGTGGCAAGCAGGGATGAGGCTCCACAGATGGTCATGGGGTAATGCAGGCCAGGAGAGGGCGGTGACTGACCCCGGACACAGAGCATAACGCACTCGAGAATGACTCACAACTCACACAAGCTGCTCACGATCCCCGGCAGGACTGACGGGGCACCTGCTGTGCCAGACGCTTGAGCACCGAGGAGGCAGGGGCAAGCCTCGACTCAGAGCCAGCTGCGTGTGCACGGGTGTGGGTGTGGGGGTGTGTGTGGGTGCACGTCTGAGGACGGGGAACATGAACGTGGCCCGTGATGACCACTTGCTAAAGTCACAGACACCCTCTGCTGAGCGCTGGCTGTCTCAGAAACTGAGTCTGATGGGCCTTTTATGGGCATCATCACAGCGAACCCTCACACCCCTAAAGGCCAGACCTGCCGTGCACACTTGGGAGATGGGAAAACTGAGGCTAGGTCACCTTCCCGAAGTCCCCCATCTGGGACACATGCCTCAGACTTCCCTGTGGGCAGCTCTCCTTCTAGCAGCAATTTCTTTTTAAAAAAGAGGGGGAGAGAACCCCAAACCATACAGAAGGGCCCTTTCTCAGCTGGCGAGACGGCAGATTCGGCCAACAAGCTGAGTGCTGTGCGCTGTCTTCCGGCAGGGGTTCTATTTCAGGGGCCGGGACGCACGGAAATTATGAATGCAAAGAATGACAGGGTTCTTCTGTGTTTTCTCAGACAAGAGTCAATGGACTTATTGTGCAGCTGGCCCAGCCAGGGCTCCCACACTTGTGTGCTCCAAGAGGCCTTTCACAAATAATGAGCAACTTGGCTTCTGCTGTTATTCTTGGCTTTTAAGGGCTCTAAATATTTAGGAAGAACAAAAATTAAAGCAATGTTGCTTGATGTCCTTATAGTTACTAGATAGAACGCTGGAAGTGTTAGGGCCAAAGGGCTTAGCAACTAGAGGGCACACATGCCACCCCTCTCCTACGCCTACCGTGGCAGACATTGCTAATCAACTGCCGCACTCCTCCGCATGGAGCCAGACACAGGCTTAGAGTCCTTCCTGCGGAATCCACACAAGGCACCAGCAGCCGGTCAGCATCGGCACAGGAGACGAAACCTGTCTGCCAACCTGCAGTCAGGGCCGAGGCCGAGTCTCATACAGGTGGAGCCCAGGACAGGGAGGAACTGCCACAGCTGAGTGAGCTGAGGCCAGGCGACCAGTCCCTGTGTCCACGTGTCCACAGTCCCAGCGGACACAATGGCTTCTCCTGCTGCTATGACCACAGCAAAGCTCAGTCCTGAGCTCTCAGTCGCTTTCCTCCAGGCTGGAACCTGTCGCTAGCAGTTTGTAAAGGGCTCTGCTCTGGATGTGTATCACCAGACAGGAGCAGCTCCTTAAACGGGGTTAACAGGATTACCTGTCCCAGCTCCGTCGGAGGTGCCCTGCCCGTCGCTCCACGTGGGCTGTGCATTTCTTGGCTGGTGTCTGTGCAAGAAGGGAAATCTCAGGTCTCACCAGGGGGGACCTCACTCCAGTGACCAGAGGCCCAGGGCAGGGGCTGCTGGGAACAGACGTGGGACCCCTCAGAGCCGTGGGGTCAGATGAGGGGCACTGGCCCTGCGTGAAAGGTTAGGGGTGCGGGGGGCGTGAAGCACCTCAGTGGCTTCCCGAGGCGCCTTTGGCCGGTGCCTGCCCCACTCCCAGGATGGAGGAGCTGGGCTTCCCCAGAGGCATCAGTCTCCCGTGACGATCAAAAACCTCCTGGCCCACAGTCCCTGCCAACTCCTCTGAAAACGTAAATGTCAAAGGATGACATTTCCCCAACTTTTCTCTCCATTTCTCATCTGCATCCCTGATAATGAATGAAAAGACATGGCACCTGCTCTCCCTCCTCCCCGCCTCTTCCCCTTCCCTCCACATACAAGCGGCTCAGACCTTTGGGCTCAGCGATCCACCAACTGTTCCCACCTGGGCCCACGGAGCCTCAGCTCCAGGCAAACAAAGAAACGTGTGTGCAGGGGCCGGGCAGGGGACTGACAGGAGAAGGGTGTGCGCCCACGGGGACCAGTCCTGCTGGGAGGAGAAACGTGCACGGCCAACTCCCCAGAGCCACGGCTGTCTGTGCTGTTCACTTGCATCTACGTCTTGACTGTGACCTTTAATGTTTCAGCTCCTTTAAGACTCGGTGAAGGAACAAGAACGGGTGTGACAGCCCAGAGGCTGGGAGGCCGGGGTCCGGGGTCTGGACCCTGGACGGCAGTCTTGGCCCCGTCCCCACCAGGCGTGGCCTGCTTCGACCCTGCAGCTCTCCACCCGGCCTCTATCCGGGCAGACAGATTCCCGGACGCCGGTGGCCAATCAGCTTCCACACGTGCATGGGAGGAGCTTTAGAATGCAGACCCCTGGGCCCAGGCCAAAGGCTCGGACAGAGGTGGCGGCTCCTCCTCAGAAGGTGGCCCAAGCAGAGCATGTGCGGGGTTCGGTTGGGGGCCACCGGAGCGGGTCTGGGCTGCAGCCAGATGGTCTGCTGGGGAGGAAGAGCCCAGACAGTCCTGGGTTCAAATCCGGCCCCCCCCACCTCAGTTTGCCTGTCTGTGAAATGGGGGAGAAAAGCGTGTCTCTCATGTGACTCTGCTGGACTCGGCGGAACATGTGTCAGGTGGCCGGCCTGCAGCAGGTGCTCACAAATGGCTCACAGAAGGGGGTTTTGCACAACCAGGGGAGCGAGTAGATCCACGCGGTGATTAAGGGTTGCCTCACCCACCCCCTATTCGGATGAAAACACAGGAAGAGGGCGAAGCTCCTGGCTTCAGGCTCGCGCCTTTGTTACGACTTAAAAAGAGGAGCTCAGGACGAGGGCTGAAGAGGCAGACAGAGACCAGAGGCCGAGGGAGAGATGGAGAGATGAGGAGACAGAGAGAGAGGGGATCTCGGACTCCAAAAAGCAGCATCATTCAGGGGTCTCCAGGGGGAGACAGGGAGGACATCCCGAGGCCTCCGGGCAGCTCTGGACCCGTTACCCCTTTGCTGAAGCCTCTGCTGAAACCTGCACGGGGAAGCAGCCAGACAGCGGCCTCGAGGGCCTGGCCCCGAGTGGGCGGAGACAGCTCTGGGCTGCCGGGCTTGCCAACCCTCCTCTGCTCGGGTCGTCCCTGGGCTGCAGGAGGCCCAGCCATAATCAGTCAGCCTCCTGCCCAGCAAGGGCTGTAACTCAGGTGAGGACTCACTTTCTACTGCTCCGGGACAGAGTTTGCAAACTGCAGGTGTTGACCCACTGGTGAGGCGTAAACTTGGACGGGTCCTAACGGCATTTTTTCAGTGGATAGGATGGGACGGGAAGGGATGGGATGGGACGGGACGGGAAGGGATGGGATGGGGTGGGATGGGATGATATGGGATGGT